AAAAAATATATTTTAAGAAACTAAGAAAATTCATTTTTTAATTGATTATATGTATAATATTGAAAAAAATCTAATTAATCTTATTTGATTTATCTGATTCTATTAATTGGTTTAATTTTGACTTTATTTAATTTATATTCAGTTAACTTATTTTGACCAATCAAAATAAAATATTAAAATAAGACTAATCCTGCCAATAAGTAAAATAAAAAAATAATTTTAAGCATTCAAGGGCTGGGCCCCAGCATTAATATTCGATGTAATACGTCGGTGCTCCAACTGACTCCAAAAAAATATAAAAAAATTTGTAATTCTTTTTTGGAAAATAAAAAAAATTTGTAATTTGATAGTTCAAGACCAATTGCAGTCATTAAAAAGCACAGAGCGCATTTAAGGGCCGTTTGATTTGTTAAAAATGAAAATATATATATATATATATAAATTATTTTTTACTATATTTGTAATTTATTATTAAATTATTTTTAATGTATTTGAAATTCATCCAACTCTAAATACATCACCGCAAACACGTGAAGCTTCTCCCTCCACCCATGATAGGTGCCACCTACCGCAACTCGACACTTATTAGCTATTCACCATTCACATTAGGCTATCACATGCCACTGTCGAATGTTATCATCCCCACTATCGTGACGGCTACCTCATATATTGGTATCCTATTAGGGTATCTCCAACTGAACTCCAAACACTTGAATGGCGTCCCTGGCCAGCTCCAGCGGAATCTCAAATTTCCCGCTATTTGGATGTGTGTGAACAGTGGGACGCCAATATTGGCGTTGCACTGTTCACCTCCGCCATTTTTACCTCTCTACCAAACTTGGCGCGGGAAAAAAGATACGACTGTTACCTGCAAAAGTGTGAAAAGTGACGTTCGATTGGATATGAATCGCGGCATTTTGGAGTGAAAAATGAGATTTTCGGTTGGAGATGCTCTTAGTCACGGTTCGCCGTCCTTACTATTAATCATTGGCATAACCTTTGTACATTGAAATCATTTTAATTCAAGTCAAATACAAACACATATTCCATGCATTTCTCTTACACTCAATCAAATAAGTTGAAAAGTACTTTAAATATGATAAATTTATTTTCCACTCCATTTATGTTTCGTTTGCGAAGACTTTCTTATTACTTTTTAAAACAGTGCTCGAGATCGTGAGTCGCAAGAGAAGAACAAATGTCTTTTTTTTTAAGTCAAAATCACACTTTTAAACCCACAAAAAACCCCTTTTAGCCGACCATTCTGTATTATTTTTTGTCAAAACAGCTCAAGTGCATTGTCGTCGACAAATAAGAGGAAAAAACTAGCTCTTTTAATGGAGGATTCGAGGTGCAGACTAGTTAATGGTAGAGGCTGGCGTTGTAGCTCGCCAATGCTTGTTGGTTACTCTCCATGCAAACACCATTTAGGGAAAGGTAGGCCTAGGAGTATGAACTTAGTGAAAGAGATCAAGCTTGAAAATAGCTTGTTGGACATAGGCTTCCTTTGGTACGACTTTCTAACTGTTTCTTAAAGCAGTTTTTTTTTACAAAAATTATATAAAAATTTTAATTTTTATAAAAAAAGCTGATTTAAAAAACAGTAAGAAAGACGTTCCAAACAGAATCATAGTGTCAAGGTCAGAGTTGAAGAAGAAGATTAGAGTGGTTAAAGCCGGACCTTTTTTTCTCTTTTCTCAATGTTTTTGATTGCATGGCTTGTCAATCAGTAGTTGTGGCTTCTATTGCGAATCTGATATCACCTTCTTACTTTTGTTTGTCCACTCGGAAGATTAAAACCTGTACGTGAGACTTTAATTCTTATCTTTGGAGATAGCTTAACGGCCATTTGAGTTCTGCCAGGCCTTGTCGAGGAGAACTATAAAATTGACATCCCATTTTTTGAAGGACATTTGCATGTTGAAGATTATTTGTATTGGGAGGCCTTCATTGAGCGTATAGGGATCCCACTTGAAAAACAAGTTAAATATGCTGCATTGCAGCTGATCATATCTCAACATCACGAGGGAAGAAGGAAATGCAAGAAATAGGCCCCGAATGAAATAATTGTTCTGCGGTAGTGAAACCCAATCCGTCTTGGTTCAAAAGCTAGACGATCTCTCAATAAGCTTTCATCTCTTCATTATCTAGATGAGAAAGGAGTTGCACATCTTTATGAACAATGGCCCTATTCCTCCGACAATCACATGGCATATCTAATAATCCTTCTAGGTTTTGGAGAAGCTATTGAGGCTAATCGATTACAATGTCCTGAGGATCACCAACTTCGTTGGTTGGCAGACAGTCATTTCTAATTATGATTCAGGGGGCATTGCAGCTGACTATATCTCAACCCCAGGAGGGAAGAAGGAAATGCAAGAACCCACCGCAGAATGCTTGCAATGAGATTTCATCTTGCTTTTGCCTTTTTAGGCTTTCTTGATTGGCTCTAAAACAACTAGCAAGAATGGGTTGCGGAAACTCTGCCAGAACATTGATTCATCGTCCCCATGGAAGCAGAGCCTTCCATGGAACCCAGCTTATTTCTGAATCAGCCAATGGTGCTTACTTGAACAGACCTTTGTCGCCTCATCTTCTTCTAAAGAAGCTGCAACTGAGTGCAGCTTATTTGATCTCTCATCATATTTCTGGGGTTTGTGTTATCTGTGCTGCCTTGCTATAGCCACTGTCAGTGAAGGTCTGCACTCTCTCTGATGTTTGATATCCTGAACCAAAGCCAATCCTGTAATTCTCTCAGGTGAGTTTTTTGTGGCATTTGTTGTGATCGCCAAAACCAAATCTAGCTACCAAAAAAAAAAGTTGCAATAAGTTCTCTATTGAAGAAGAATTTACCTCAGCTTCTAACAATTACTGTGTTTTTTTTTTTGTAGTTGGTGCTATCGGTACTGTCTTGCTGTTTCCACTGTCAACGAAGTTGAGCACACTCTCTGATATTTGATAACTTGAACCAAAGCCAATTCTGTAATCACTCTTGTGGAAACTCATCTATCGTGTAGATGAGCGCTCGAGAACGAAGATGAACAGTAACAAGAAGAAGAAATATTATTTCGTGTTAAGTCCTTATTACAGAGATACAATGAGTTTAAATAGAGATAGCGGTATACACGTGTCAGCCTCGTATAGGTTGACAAGAAGTGAGAATGAAAAGCATATTTATAGTTGTATTTGGCTGTCTTAATATTCCCCCTCAAGCTAAGCATCTTGTGTGATGGTTAGTTTGGATCTTAAGAGCTGAAATCTTTTAGTTGCCAGTGGTTTAGTGAGAATATCGGCGACCTGATCCACTGTACAGATGGGCAGGAGGCGAATTGTTCCTGTCTGAATATGATCTCTCACGAACCGTTGATCAATCTCTATATGTTTTGTTCTTGCGTGAAATACAGGGTTGTTCGCCAGAGTTATAGTGGATGTGTTTGTGATGCCCCAAGATCTAACTTGGAAAGAATGTCAATCAATTACTCAAACAATTTACCAGAGTTATCTAAAACCTTCAATTAAACAGTCTATCAAACATCTATAAAATTTAAAACAGCAATATACAAGTCGATTCAAACTCAAAAGATCATGTACAATACTCAGGAACTACACTACAATCACCAGTTCTGAAATCTATCCTGAGTACAAAAGAATCACTATCAATCAAAAGACAAAAACCTGAAGATCTGGATCAATTCCTATCTTCTGCTCCCTTGCACTGACCTGAAAATGTCAACCACATATAATGAGCTTTACAAAGCCCAGCAGGTCACCTAATACCTATAACTGAAATCAAAGCACGGCTATGCTATCAATATGCATGTCATTCAATCACAGTCAATCAATCTATATCAGTCAATGGTCAATGAATCTGTGCAATACGGAAATCCATATTCAATAAAACCAGTCAATGCAGCAGCAGGCAAATCAATAAACCAAGCGCAATCAATCCACGTCAATCTAGAAGAAATCCGTACACAGAAGAAAATCAGTCAATCCGTCAAATCAATCAAATCGTCGAATCAAATCCGTTAAATCATTCGTGTCGAATCAATCAATCAAATTAAACCAAAGCAAAATCAATCGGAAAAGCGATATGATGAATCTCAATCTCAATAAAGTCATAGGCAGTAGTAACGATGCATCTATAAGTAGAAATCAATGAATCTATAAGCAACAGTGTCAATGATTCTATACTATTCATGTTCATGCTATCAATGCAATATCTATATCCATCCATTTCTATATCAATGCTCAATGTCGATGCACAACAATCAATCAGTGAAATCAATGAAATCGTACGAACTAGTAAATCCAATCAAAGTCAATAAAGCAGAAATCTATGAAATAACAAATCCATAAAGCAATACAGTAAACATGCAATTCAATACTATATACTGGACAAGTATAATCAACTGGTCATGTTGCTGTTGTAGAATCCATATTGATGTTGTAGATATCATACATTGGTTCTATCAATAAGAGTCGTCACTCTTTTCGCCCGTCGGCATTTC